CGCCGGCAGTGGACAAACTTGGGTTTGTTTCTGTGTGTTTCAGGGCTATGGTACATAACAAAAACGAATGCCATGCTTACAGGTGCTTAGGGGAAGGGATTCAAATATGCTAATAAACCTTAACCCCCAAACTTCTTGCCAGCGAGCTTTGTGTAGTTTTGCTCAGGGTAAGAGAAGTCACAAGAAGTGAGACATCCTCTGTGGTGAGGAGAGATTCCCACTGATGGATTCCCACTGACATTATAATTTAATCTTTAACTACTGCGCTTTGATTTCATCTCCGAGACAGTTTATTTAACAAACCGGGTCGCATGGTTCCAGTGATGAATTAGTTCTTTCAGGTGTCAGAGGCAGGCAGCTGGGACGTGTGCACGCTGGTCCTGATGTAAAACGTGAGCTCTTATGCTCTTACAGGTATAGAGGGTTGCACACAAAATTCACTTAAAACAAGCACGTGAACTACATCTATAGTGTTCTTAGTAGCAAAAGTAAGGTGAACGAGATCAGCGTAGAGAATTCCGCCTTTTTTTTTATACCAGAAGGTAACCAGTGGCTGTTCATTCTTAGTCAGAAGTATTTCTAACGATGACATAACAAACTACATATTTGCACTTTATCAGTAAAACAGTGGGAATGCTTTATGTGCGTGTGAAATAGAAACTGTTTCACAGGTGTGTGTTGTCTTATTACGAAGTAAGCATCTATTGCTGGTTAAGGTCTTAAACTGATATTGGTATTTAGAAAAAATATCCAACTGTAACCTCATAACTATATAATTATGAAAGTCTGTCTATATATTTTCTTCAAAGTATTTTATAAATGTGCTTTTTTTCTTTCTTAAACTTTTTCTTTTTCTTTGGATGCAGTTCATAAACTGAAGTCAGTGGTATCTGTATTGAATCTTCTGTACTCACCTACTTCAAGACTTTTAAAATCCATTTCACATCAGGTTTAAAGTCAGAGAAACGTATATTTCGGAAACATCTGAAGGATGTTGTGGCCTTCCTTGTTGGTGTTATGCTACTCTTCAGGCTGTGGTGGATTGTTTTTTAGATTTGCTGGCTTTATGCTGTACTCAGAATTGGAGAGTCTGGGGGTGGGGGTGGTGCATGTCAGTCCTTACTGTTCCTGTAGGATCTGAGTAAGTGACATATCTTTCAGTCTGTTGAAGTACATGCAGTTTTACCTCAGGCTTGCTTTTTTGTTGGTAAATGCAGGAAAGAACTCTGGCCTCTTTGTACAAGTCAAGCTCAATTATCCGATATTGAAAATAATATTAATTTTGTATAGTGAGTGAGTGTACTTTATGGTTGAAAAATGTTTTGAGCTTATCACCATACAGTATGGTAGCAGCACACTTACAAATGAGATATGAGGTGAACGTTATGTATAAGGATACATTTGCATGCCTTGCTCCTGGACTAAAGGAATCATTTCTGGTGCTGTGAACGAGCGTGACAGTAGTATCTTTAGTGGTATGGACTAGAATGGTTTGGTCTGAGACAACCTAATTCAATTCAGAAAATAAGGCTAATTGAACAAAAGTTCTCAGAGATGACCTCTCTGGTGAATGTAGTAAGGGTGACTTGCTACCATTTTTAAACTAAAACATTTGCTTTTAATGAGGAATGCGTTTTGCTTTAGCTGTTTTAGTTTCCTTCTTCCTCTGTCCAGAGAAGTGGAATACTTAGAGACCATAATATTTCAAACAAGTGCACTCAACAAAAACAACTTACTTGAAGGAAAGTTCTTCTGAGCATTATATTGCTAGTGACTTATGAGGAGGTGAAGCTTGGTCTTCCAGGGAAAGAACTGTTGGCTCCGTATTGCTTTGTTGGAAAATGCATTCAAAGCCACGATATTAGAACCTGTTCAAGAAATACAGTTTATCTTTTGTTTTGTGGTTCCGATTTCAGGCAGTTGAAGCTGTCTGGGGTAACTGCCCCACCTAGCAGGCACGCATGAGGAGAAAACAGACCTGCGAGGGGATGGCTAGTTTTTGATTATATGAAGGAAGAGCGAAGGTTAAGTGAGGTTGTGTCTCGGAACATAAGTATTTCCTTTTGCTACAAGATTTAGATTAATCTCTGTCAGGTAAACATTTGTATCGTGAAATACTCCTGTTAACTGTTAGGGTTTATTCTTGATAAGGGAGAACCCAAGAGAGAGTTTTGTTTGGAACAAAACTTATTTTCAACACTCTGCATACCAGAGATGTTTTGTAAACAGATGTTTTTATCTACTTGAAATAAATTCGACAGTGCTCTGGAAGGAATGCTTCTTTGGTAAAGAGAGTTATGCTTTCAAATCTGTGAGTTAGTCTGTACTGTAACAGTAGTTCTTTGCTATATTGATACAATCGTGAGCTCGGCAGTCTATGTATGTACGGGCCTCGGCTTCTGGAATAAAAATGGCAATTTCCACGTGGCTTGTGTATTTGATGCCAATTGCAAATGCAATTTTTGTCACTACTCTTTTCATGTTAGTACTGTAACTTAATAGTTTTGTCCTCGGGATTTGTCTGTAGATGCATTGGCCTTGTATTTATGGTGTTTGTATTCCTGGCAAACCCCCATAGTTTTACCAGAGAGTTTAGATTAATAGTGTTCAGCTAGGCAAGCTGTTTAACCAAAAACTTCTAAAGACATTTTCTCTAGGCAAACAGACAACAATATTTTGTAAGTGTGGGGAAAGTAGTATGTTCACGGAAAGATGCTGTTCCTTTTATGTTTTTTTCCCCTTTTCTCAGGATGGCAGCATCCCATGTAGTATTAAATCATTCTTGTCCATTAGGACTGAGTGCCATGATGACTCCTTTCCCAATTAGTTTGAATCACGGTTTTATATTGTCGGTCCTACTAGATTGTAAACCCACTAGGGAGTTTCACTGTTCAGCTGTGGTTGTGCTCGCCCTGGCACGTTACCTTGCGAACTCTCAATTCACGTTTGTAGCCATTTATCTTCATTGCTACCAGACCTTGTATGTTTACACAGCATTTTGAGTCAGCTTCTAGCTTTCTCACTGCTGTAGAAATACTATTTTTAGCATCATTAATGTTTTTTTATTTGAAGAGGCAAGTTGAACGTTTGCATCGGACGTCTTGAACTTGGGTAGTTTCTTTGCAATGTTGACTTGACATAATCTTTAAAACAATGCAGATTACTTTCCTAGGAAACTTAAACAATGTTGCTTGCTTCTCATGAGTCCTAGCTCTGTCTATCCATATGAAGAGGAAGTTGAAGACTGAAGACAATCCTGCTTAATGAAGTAATTAATAGGTTTTTCAGAGCTTTCCTACCAATCTGTTCTTTTGTAACTGTCTTCATGCAGTTGCTGAATATTCCTTATCAGCTTGTAGTATCTGTTTATATATTATGTGTGTGTGCATATTTGTTCTTCCTGTCAATACTCTGTTGTAGTACAATGAACTTTATATATAATCATTGGAGAGAATGGGATGCATCGCTTTCATTTGGTCCATGTTCAGAATGTGCTGTGATAACAGCAAGAGGAAAACCATCAGCAAAATCATTGTAGGCCCGAGAATGGAAAATGATTGCAAATATCTTCAAGAGCAGCGTAAACAGAGAAGGTTAATGAAAGTGAAGGGGGGGTGGGAAGAATTTTACGTCTTTTTGGAGTGAAAATAAACGCTTGCAGTTAAGAATATTGTTCTGGGACTGGCAGAGCTTGATTGAAAAGTTCTTCTGTTACTAGAAGGTAGGTGTAATAAAAAGTGTGTGAACAAGACGTGGCGTGTAGCCCAAGTGATGAGAATGATTTGCTCCTAGTGAGACCCTTTAAACAACTATAGCCTATAAATGCATTTTCCGTGTTCCTCAAATAGGACTTCTGTCTGCATTGTAAGTCATCACTATCATGTAGTTGATCAAATATTATTCCGTACTTAAGTAATCTGATTACACATGTCATGAGAAGCAGCAGCATATTCTTGATAGTGTTATCCCCTATTTTACGGATTTAGTAGTGCAGCAGTAAGTAAAAATGTAAAGTTTCACTGAAAGGATTTTCTTCTGCAGGCTACTAGTGAATCAGCTAAGATTTTTGTAAAGCAATTAAGCTGTCTTGTGTTTCGGTTTTTAGACCTCTTTTGAACATGAATCTGGGTTGGTGGGGAGGAGGACCTTTAAAAGAAACAAACACACAAAAACGCACCTGCCTTCCAAAACTTCAGGTGGATCCACTTATAATAGGCTAGTGAATTATGAGAAAAGATTCACAGCAGAACGCTTTACCAGTGGAAAAATAAGTGGGATCAGAAAGGTTAGCTGTGACTGATATTTGGGCATAAAAACTAAACAAAACCACACCAAAGTGTAGCCTTGGCACTGAGCTCTTAAAGGTATTTGAAGCCTTTTATCTCAGTTGCCTGGGTTTGTCATTGGTATCAAAGAAAAATATTTGTCTGCTTTAGTCATCTGACCTCAGGAGTTTTTGTTTTACACTGCCTGTGTAGTTAGTGGGTTGGGATAATTTCCTCTAGAGGAAAAAAAAATTAGTTGTGGGATATTCAGATACTGCAGCGACAAAGCCTATAAGCATCTAAGAAATTTGGAAAGTGTTAGAAAAAAATAGATTCTTGGGGATTTTAGGCAGCCATCAAACTAAAAAATGTCAGTATTTCATGGTTCTTTTGTATCAGACAGCTGCCAAAAAGAATGCATGTTCCTCTTGGGAGTCCTGGTAAGGCGGTCATTCTGGTTCTCATATCATTCCTGTACAGATTTGCAGCAGAACAAGTGTCCTAGACAGGGGTAGAGGGACGGGAGGATGGCTGCGTTGCCTCGATCTACCAAAATGTCAGGGAGAAAGACAAGGAGGAAAGAATAGAGAAAAGAAAAATACGGGACCGAATAGCATAAAATTTTAAAAATGAGGAGTTTGAACATTCATGTTTTCTTCTGGAGCTGTATTGACTAGGGTACTCAGTCACCTTTGCATTACAAAGGGTGTTTTGGCATTAGGTGTCCATTTCAGTTCTTGGCTAACGTAATTTTCAGACTTTTTCCCCAGGATTAGGTTTATGGTTATGAGCTGCTATATAGAGATACAGCCTGTCCTTGAACAAAAGGTACAGACATTCTTTACTTGGTTGACGTAACAAGTTTTTGCAGCCAAGTACACAATCAAGATTCATTTGAGTAAGTTTTGTTCCTCTCTTGCCTGACCTGGCCATCCTAACATTTTGGGTGTCAATTTGGTGGACATCAAGTCTTCGAAGGCCATAGAAATGTTTTTAACTTATGCTGTCTGATTCGGTGTTTGATTTAGGCTTATCATAAAACCCTTTTAAGGTTCTGCTGATCTATTTGCATTTGATTTCTGGACAGATACCTGTTTGTCTTAATTTGTGAACTGTTTAAATAAGTGGCAAAGGGCACGCCTTCTGAACTTTGTAATGTGGAAAGAAAGGAAACACGTGCTTTCTCCTTTGTTCCCTTTCTCCAGAAGTGTTTCTGTTTAGCATAAATCATTTGAGCATTACTGCTTTGTATTATTTTGTTAGTTAAAATAAGTTTTACCACTTCACCCTATAACTGGAGTGGCATCACTTAAAGAATTACTGTGTTTTTTCTGAAGTTGGTGTGTGTGGTGACATCCAGATGGGGAGTAGATTTATTCAGACATGCATGGTATAAAAGCTGAGATGGGTGCTCCAGAGGCTATGGATCAGCAGTTTTTTTCTATTCTTTAAAAAAAAAAAAAAAATCAAGTATTTAAATACAGCAATCAGAAAAACTTACTAGATTTATAATATAAATTAGAGAAGTTGTAGAATACATTTTAAAATTGTACATAAATATGTATAAATTTGAAATATTATAAATATATTAAATCTGTTTAATATATTTATAAAATATTTGTATTAGACAAACTTAATAAAACACAAGGTGTGCACTTCTTATTGTATTTTAAGTGATAAAGGATGACTCTTTAATGTTACTCCCTAGTTATCTCTACTGGGATATTTAGGTCTTATTTAATTCTGTTGATTCTAAAAGAAAAAAAACACCTTCTCTAGAAGGCTGCATGGTGTTAGTAATGATAGGACTCCAAAATTACTTTTCTGTCCCATTTATGCACATCCTCCTTTTCAGCTGTATCTGATCATCCTTTACACTTTGGCTAGCGGCTTCTTTCCTCCATTAATGAGGATCCTTTGAGGGAGGGCTTAGTGTTGAGACCCATCTACTGAAATGAATTTGCTGTGATACAGTTGTGCTTAGGCATCCAGCCACATTAGTCTGTTTTGTGGTTTTTGGTGGTGGTGGTTTTTTTGTTTCATTTTGGTTTTAAACCCCCAAAACAATCAACCAAAAAAACCCAACCAAACCAAACACACAACTCCCCATGCCGCCCACCAAAAAAAACCCCAAAAAACAACCCCTACAACAAAATCTTTGAAGCAGTTCTCAGACTTTTGTGCAGATTTTTGGGGTTTGCTGTAAGTTTGAATTCCAGGGTTACTTGTGGTTTTGGAATGTTTCATTCAAAATTCATAGAGTTCAGTCAGGTACAAGCAAAAATTCCTGTAGTGGTGTGGTTTCTTGTTTTTTTTTTTTTGTTTGGGTTTTTTTGTTGGTGTTTTTTTTAATGTTTCGGAAAGTAGATCGTGGATGCAGCAACTACTAATGCTTCAGAGGCATGTATAGAGAACAAAATGAGACTTCTCCCATGCTCAAGGTCTCTTGAGTCATAGGCATCTTGCACAACACCACTCCAAAACTAGAGTGACGTTTTAGCATTTGTTGTTCTGTTATTTGGGAAGGTTGTGCTCTTACTTGCTCTTACAGTCTGCTTGCTGTGAGGTGGTTCCCTCCCTCCCCACAGTCCAGTATCAAGCAGTTAACAATTTAATGTGCCTCTTATGGTCCTTACAAGTCCTTACTACTAACTAGTCTTGATGTTTGTCCTGTGTCAGTGCTGTGCTAGTGTTGCCTGCCGATAACTTCATTTTTAGTGTCCTTAACTTGAGCAGCTCAAACATGCTGATTACAGTAGATGCAGGGTCTAGGTGAGCGGAACCTGAAATGTTACAGCCCTTTGGGTGTTTGTAATATGTGGTAGCAGTGTTTGGTCTGTGTGCAAGATAGCCGATGTATTTTGCATTGAAGGTCTGTTCTCCCTTTTCTTCTAATCCTAGAGGATAGTTTTGCCTTGATCATAAAACACAGTCTTGTGTGTATTTTATATGCTCTCAAAACCAATACAGGAGGAAAAAATGGCTGGTTTTAAAATGAATATACCTTTCTTAAGCTGATAATGTGATGGGGTTGTCTAGAACAGCAGGGTCCTTAAACATTATCGTTTAGTAGTTCCTCTGTATTCTGGAGTAGTCCTTTTTACTCAAGATGTTGAATTCTGAAACTTTTTCCTAGGAATTCTGCATGCAGTATAGAAAGAGCATGTTGTTATGCTCCAGAGGTAAAATACATAGTTTTTTCTTTCAGTCAGGCTCCAAGCTTCATGTACTATCATTTTGATGTGGTCATCATGCTGTTGCTAAATCACTAAGCCGTATTTCCCTTTCTATGGGCAGTAATGAGTTGCAAATCAATAGACTGTTCTCCATGGCCTAGCTCATAGAGATGTTGTAATTGGGTATAAGACAGCATTAACAATATGACTAACGCTTGCTTCGGTATTCATTTTAGACATTTGTTTATAGTCTTAAATAAGATTTGGTATGGTACACTTAATTCACACAGAACAGGATGAAGGTGAAGAGTCAAGAATGAAGTGTTTAGTAGCTTTCTGGAGACTTAAGGCACTCATAGTAGATTGGTTTTTTTGTTGTTGTTTTTTTTTTTTTTAACTGTTCTAGGAAATTGTATCACTGAATAATAGCTATTGTGGTCAGACATCAGCAGAGCTGGTTTTGCTTTTTCAGGCATTTAATCAGACTTTTAAAATTTAATTTTTTATTTTTATTGTGCGGTGACAGATTGTGCTAGTGGCTGGTAATCAAAACAGTATCTATGAGAAAACTGGCAAAAGGTGAGTGGACTAGAAAAAGGTTCCCAAGATAAACTAATGCGTGCTAAACTACTGTGGAGGTAGTGCCTGGCTATGTGTCAAGAGATGAGATTGTGTGGTGGGAGGGAGAAGAAAGGATGTCAGGTTCTCCTCCAGCCTTAGCTCTCTGTTCCACAGGAAGGTAAGAAGGTCTTTCTCTTCAGGTTGGGCAGATGATTGTAAAATGGAAACAGGTGGAAAACTACCGGGAAATAGGAGAATTGCCCATATGCCTGTTAAAATCTTACTTGGAAAATGTTAGCTCTTCAGCTCAAGAGATCCTGGGGAAAGGTGGGGGGAGGAGGGGCAAGAGTAGAGTCTCCATAGGAGGGAATAAAGGATTTTTTAGAATTAAATTGCAGTCTCTGGTACAGGAGAATGCAGCGAGCCAAAGATGAGGCAGTACGGAGGATGTACAGGGAAGGGAGCAATAGCTGTGATAACTCAGGGCAGCATGCAGATGAGAGATTTAATAAGCGATGTCATTGAACTAGTATGGGCCAGATTTAGAGAGCACACATGACAACAGATTTTAGAACAGTGGCAAATATATTTTTGACCGTATTCCCCTCTCATTTGGATGTGTCTGTTTGCCAGATGTCAAATGCTGTGTCTTCTGTTTAAGTATGATGAAAGACTACTTGGGCGTTATGCATTGGCTAGTATGGTTGACTGGTCAGTTTGGATTCAGACATGTCTGACAAAGTACCTTGTTCCAGAGTTTACCATCTCTCTGCTCAAAGATGCTGATAACCATCAGAAGTTGGAATAACTTACTTTAAGCCTGTCTTTTCATTGTCATGTCCTCCCTGTACCCAAAGGAAAAGAACAGAATTTAAGAATTGATATTCATAGGCTACTGATAATATATTTTTTTCGTATGGTAGACCCTATATTTTGTTCCGTCTCATATATAAGTAGCTACTCCAATGGTGTTGCATTTAATGCAGTTGTTCAAAGCCCAAGTGATTAAAGTGTAACCATAGATCTGTGTGCCAGTGTAGGGCCAGCTCCAGCAGACCTGCACCATGTTAACAGACCTGATGTTTCTGAAGGCAGCAAGAACAGCGTGGTGGGCAGGGAGCTGCTTCTTATTAACAGCAGCCCCAGAATAATGGGCAGAGAGGAATCAAACCCAGTAAAGCACAGAACATGTGCTAATGCTAATTTTCTCATGGCGGGCCCAGCTACAGAAGGGATGTGAACAACTGTCTAACCAGTCTTCTCGTTTGTGAAGGCTAAATTCTTGAGTTTTTTTAAATATACTTTGTTTCGCCAATGGTTCCAGCTAAGGAGTTGCTTGTTTAGTTTTTAGAGTAGGACCAGCTATATGGATGATACTCTCTTTGGTATATGGATTATGTAGCTATGTTGAAAGTCGTAATGGGAATTTATGACAGTATTATGTATTATGTGCCTTGTTAAAGTGTTGTATTAGGTTGCGATAGCACGTGATTTAAAAAAGTCTAGTTCAGTGCTAGATTCCAGTTTCCACATAGCAGACAAAATTACATCCTTTTATTGAAGCAACAAACCATTAATAGTTTAGCTTATTAATCACTTTTCTATAATTTGCACATGATAATAGATTAATGCCTTTCACTTTTAGGTGCGGGAGATCAGAATTTATTTACTTCCTTATATCCTACACTTTCTCAGCAGCTTCCTAGAGAACCCATGGAATGGAGGAGGTAAACTTACATTTTATTCTGTGATACTATTTCAGTGTGTGTGTTTAGACTTGGGAAAGTGTGTATTTGTTGTGCTCTGAGAAGCTCTTGCCATAAATTGAGTTGAATATAGCAACTGACTTGAGGAAAGAAGAACTTAGATAGTCAAGGTAAATGTTGTTCACAATGATCATTTCCACTCAGCTATGTTGAACTTCATCTAAAGAAAAATTATACTAATGCTGTGTTTCTCTTTTTGGTTTTGTGGTTTGTGGGTTTGTCTGGGTGTGTACTTTGATGTGCTTTGGCAGCCATGTTCTCAAAGTGACATGCTTTCTTCTTAATGAGAATATAGGTAGAACTTATGTGGAATTAGATGTACTTTCCTGCAAAAAGTTTGGTGTGGCACACTGCTTTCTGATTGGAGAGAAATATTTGGGGAATTTTCTTATTTGGAGTTTATCACTTTAAGAGGTCCTAGAGATACAGAAAAGCTTTTAATGAAAGCTGAAAAGCTTCTAGTTCCTGTTCTTGCAAAAAGGAGAATCTATCTCATTTCAAGTGATACCAAATTTTAGTTAACTTTATACAAACTGCAGTAAGTGTAGTTTGTGAGTTTCCAATACCAGGGTATTTCAGTTTATTCCTCTTCCCTAAAATATATGTTCACTTTTGTATTCTGCTATGTATGTCTTGTCCACTAATTTCAGTTTTTAAACTTTGTAGGTCCTATGGCCGTGCTCCGAAGATGATTCATCTAGAATCTAACTTCGTTCAGTTTAAAGAGGAGCTACTACCCAAAGAGGGGAATAAGGCCCTTTTGACTTTCCCCTTTCTTCATATTTATTGGACAGAATGTTGTGTAAGTGTTAGGAAAACATCATGAAAAACTGAGCACCCAGATGTAAAAATGAAATTGTTTTGATTTTCTATTTGTGGGCTCTGGTATTTTTTATTTGCTTTTCATGCTTACTTAAACAATTAAGTCTGCATTGCATAAGCATGCATACCCAACATAACTGGAAACTGAACTTAGTCAGCTTGAGTACTTTCTACCATAAGCAGTATTTCTTTGTAATGTTGCTTGACACTAAGAGGACAGGCTTTTGAATAACCTGTTTTCAGTACTTTGTCATGAAAAACCCCAGGATCTAACAGTGTTACTGCAGAAGCACAGCACTTGCTTCATAATACAGAAATGTGGCCGGAGTATTTCAGTCATGATCTATTCACAGGGTTAAATCTTAAGATATGTATTTTTTTTCTTTAGTTCATCTTCCATATGTGTCAGCAATCTAAACTGGGCAAGATTTGGAATGTCTTCATCCTGTTATTTACAGTTCACTGCTTTTTGGTTGGCCTCTGTTATGAATTAAATATCCAGTTGAAGGACAAAGGTGATATCTGATCTGTGACCAATCAAAAAGTATCAAGAACAGCCTGAAGAGTTGTCTGAAATGATCTGTTTAAAACCAACCCAGAAGCCAAAAAAGTGCCAAACAATGCTTCTATGGTTTTCTGATTTTTATGAAAAAGCTTTTAAACGGATTAAGGTTTGAACAGTGTTAGAAGGCACAAATATCACACTTCTGTTACTATGTGAGAATAAAACAGTTCAGCTTTGTAATTTCAAACATGTTTTTGTTGTAAAGTTCAAGAACGTGTAAAATAAGCGTTTAAATTATGTTTAAAAATCTTAATTTCAGTAACCTCAAGAATGATAATATACCAAATACTAAGATACATTTCCTGTTAACCAAAATACTAGAAACAAATAAAGACCAAAACCTTACTATACTTTACGTCATTTGATTTCTTTCAGTAAGTGAACTTTTTGTCACTAGTTCTATTTGATATGTCTTTCTGTTTGTCTTCTGTTGGAACAAAATTTACCTTTTGAAATTGTTCAGAATGTCTGTTTGATGCGATGATTCTCCGCTTCTCATCCCAGGACACGGAAGTGTACAAAACTACGGTCAAGGATGACATCACCAAGTGGCAGAATGTTCTCAAAGCTCACAACTCGGTGGACTGGCTAATTGTGGTAGTTGAGAGTGATGCCAAGAAAAAGAACAAAACAAATATCCTTCCCCGAACCTCTATAGTAGATAAAATAAGAAATGACTTCTGTAACAAACAAAGTGACAGGTAAGCATTCTTTTACTTGCAAACATTTTGACCTTTTTACTAGTGTGCTGATTTAAAAACTCAGCTCCCTATGTAACAAGTTCCTTGCTCATTTAATGACTTTCCTTGATGTCCAGCATTCAAACTGATGGTACCATAAGACCTATGCTCTGAAGAAGACTGACACAAGCAGTAAAGGGAGAAATTTATTTTCAGTTCTTCCTGGATTCGTGGTGGCTTTGAAATGTGTTTCAAAAAGCTTTCAAGTATCTCCTCCTGGCTAAGAGAGGTTCAAGGGGAACAGTGTGGTAATGATCAGTTTTTAGAACTTGAGGGTGTTTTGTTTGCTTAGGTGCTTGCAAAAATGTTACCAGAATTACAGGTAGTCAGAGTGAGGTGAGAGGGAAATATGAAGCCAATAGAGCTTATTTTTTACCATTGTACTTTCTGCCTTTCACTTAATCACCTTTCCACTATGGGATAATTGACATAAAGCCAGTTTCTTCGGATGTTTTCATTCTAAGGAAAATAATAATGAATATATGAAACTGTTTCTGCTTTCGTTGAAGTCAACAAAATACACAAATCTTAATTTGAAACCAACTTTAACAGATACTCTCTTCTTTATTCTGAAACATTGCACTGAATCTATTATATATTTCATTTTTCTCTTTTAACCTTAAGAGTTAACTTTAAATGGGAGATTTTCCTCCTAAGAATGAGTGACAGGATAAACATTTGAAGTTGAAAAGCAAGAGTGATGGAAGCACTCATTGTACCTTGGTGTGAGCTGACAGTAACTGGCAGGTCAGCATGTTATAACACGCTGTATGTTGGCAGCACTTTCTCTGTACCTAGACATTGTTTGGTATATTACAGGATTATTTGGGCAAATAGTTTGAACAACTCTGACTCAGTTTGCTTTTGGTTTCTAACTGATTGATTGGCTTGGTTTAATCATTTTGCTGTAGGATAAGATGACTTTTCTAACCAGAAATCGTGTTTTACTTGGATGAGAGATTTTCCTGCTGTTAGAGATATTGGTAGTTTTCTGAATGTTACTAAATTATGATAGAAAAACTGAGGAAATAAAATGCTCTAAAAAAGGCTGATTCATTTGTGAATTAATGGGATCTGTTTATTTATTTATTTATTTTCTGAGAAAAGCAGCAGAAGTTTGAGCACATAGGATGTGTAAAAACAAATTGAGATACTGTAAGAATATATTACGGAGGATTATTTTAAGTGACTTAGGAAAGGCTGACTATATGTGATCTAATGGATCTTGATTTGTATCTTGCATAATCCCTGCCAGGAGTAACTATAATCACTGTTCTGCTGATCTGTATTGCTAAGCAGACTTTTTTTTTCTTGGATAGCATTACTTATGTTTAAGTAATTGGAATAATGTATCCATTATTTGCTTCAAAAAAGTAAAGCTTTATAGTACTCATTTTGTGGAAAACACTTGGCTCTTCTCATAAACTGTATCACAGACTTAAAAACACTTTTTGATGTATGTTTAAAAAGCCACCAAAACCCAACCAAACAAAACCCCAAAACCCCAATATACTCACCCCCAAACAAACAAACATAACCCTCAACCTTGGTTTTTACCTCTGATTAGTGTTGAATGAAAAACTAAATTTTGTTCACTCTGAATCTGCCAGGTATGCACAGTATTCAACCGTGCATTTATATGTGAAATTTATGTTTACCTCCTCAAAAATATTTTTTTATCAATCTCTTTACAGATGTGTTGTACTTTCTGACCCTTTGAAAGACTCTTCCCGTTCTCAGGAATCTTGGAATGCCTTCCTGACCAAACTCAGGACGTTGCTTCTCATGTCTTTTACAAAAAACTTAGGCAAGTTTGAAGATGACATGAGAACTCTGAGAGAGAAAAGGACTGAGCCAGGGTGGAGCTTCTGCGAGTATTTCATGGTCCAGGTAAGAGTCTCTTTCTATTGAAGAAAGTACTTGAGTCCTAATTTTAATAATGGCGTTGTTTTGTTGTAGTTAGCTTTCCGGTACTTTTAATGTTTTGCCTGTTCTTTGGGGGTTGGGGCAGGAAATATGAAGACTGGTATAAAAGCATCATTTTTAGATCTTGTTTGCAGCAGGTTTGTGTTACGTTGTAATACAGTACTATTACAGAAGCCGAATCTTTTCAGGCTTGTCAAAGTTTTATGGACTTCAACTGAAGCAAGCAAATTGCATCTAGAAAGTGTTTCAGTAGTTGCTCTTGGATTTTGGGTAAATGTCCCATTACTGTGCCTGTGCAAAGACACTCAAAACTTCTAATTGGCATTTAATGTGAATGTTGCTATGCTTTCTTTGTTTAGATTATTATCAGCATGTATGGAGATGATTTTTAGAAAAGTGCCTATTTGAAGTAATCCGTATAGAGCATGCCTTGAATTCTATTTCTTTGATATTTCTAAATATGTCTTTGTTTTAGCTGGTATAGAGAAAAGCAAGAAACTCTTGTTTGATAGAATTAAAGGTCTTGATTCCTTTGGAATTTTCTAGTTCCTGTACAGTGCTGTTCTCCACACCAATTCCACCTCATCTTCGTGTCTCCTTTGACTTTGTGCACTACCTCTTGCATATGATATATCTAATTCTCCGACTTTTTCTACTTACCACTTTGGTTCTCTTTGTGTACAACTGAGCCTTTATTGATTGCAATTAGTGCCTTCACAGTGTAAACAGAGGGGAAAAATTATTACTATTATGGGAGATGAGTCTTCAGCAATTTTTTTTTTTTTTTTTTTTTTTTTATACTTTGTTTTATAAAAGATGTAT